CACAGGGCCATAGTCACAGGGCAGGAGGTTGGCAAACAGGCCCCTCCAAGAGCTTGTGGCAAACCCGGATAAAAAGGAGAGTTTGTCACAACGAGTTATTAGATTTGATGGCAGGAGGAAATTATTTGACCACTATAGACTTGTGCAATGGGTACTGGCAAGTCCCCTTGGAGCCTCAAGCTATTCCTATATCGGCATTCGTCACCTCATTTGGCCTGTATCAGTTCAAGGTTATGCAATTTGGGATGAAGAATGCCCCCAGTACCTTTCAGAGGATGGCAGATTGGCTCTTAGAGGGATTCCAGAGCTTCGCATGTGTGTACCTGGATGATATCGCTATCTTCAGTCGCACATGGGATATCAGGGGCCGTTATACAGAGATATATAATACGTATCGGGGGTCGTTATACAGAGATATACAATTCGTATCGGGGTCGTTATAAGGAGATATATAATACGTACTAGGGCCGTTATACAGAGATATATAATACGTATCAGGGGTTATACAGAGATATAGAATGCATATCGGGGCCGTTATACAGAGATATGTAATAATTAATCGGGGGGTTATACAGAGATATATAATACGTATCGGGGTCATTATACAGAGGTATATAATACGTATCGGGGCATTATTCAGAGATATATCATACGTATCGGGGGCCGTTATACAGAGATATAAAATACGTATCGGGCCGTTATACAGAGATATATAATACGTGTAGCGGAGGGGTAGTATAATCCACAGTATCTCCTCTGGGTAACAGGAACAGCATAAAATAATCCAAGGAAATACATACAGCATACAATAATCCCGGTAGCGTTATAAGAACTAGACGACACATAGGCTGGGAGTCAACTGAGGTTTATTTTCAGGTCACGGTATTTATGGGATTCCCCATGCAAGGGGTTTCCCTACTGACATTTCAGGGGTGGTACAGTAGGGGACTACATGGGGAACTGACCAACACATACATTTCTCCCATCATGCACTGCTGGACGAGAGGGATACTGCCACTGGAATATACCGTTAATGGGATTATCCCTCGGTGCAGCAGAACTTACATTTTACATTAAAATGTATAACTTTAATAATATTCCCTTGATTTACACGAATGGACGTTCGGTAGATAGCTGGGGTCTGAGCGCACAGTTCGTGAGAATACCGCTCAGCTCCCAGTCTAACTAAACGAACGCCACACAAAATACACATTATTTCTAACACATTGTTCAAATACTGATTGGTATTAGGGGAACAAACTACCGAACGGCCGGGGCTCCCGAACGGCCTGGAAGTCCAGCGGTGTTCGCGCCGTTGAGTAGCCGATTTTAGTTCCAGGCGCTCAACGGCAAAACACTGCTGGGCTAACAAAGGATCCAAGATGGCCGACCGCCGCGTGGTCAGTAGTCGAACGACGGCCACCTAGGGAAGCCTTTAACTAGTTGCAATCGGTTAATGGGCGCCACACGACCTCTTGTGTGTGGACGACCATTCAGTACTTTATTCGTTTCACGAACAGTGTTGAAACTCACTGTTCGTGAAACTACATTAGGAATGCTGGGTTTTCCACATTGCAAGCGTACAAACGCCCTCATTCGTCTGAAAGCCACATACAGTATTACACTTGGTTCTCACAGCTGAAACAAGGATATCCACACATGCAATATATGAATAGTCTTAAGTGGCTAGTTTTGCCACAATGCTCCCCCAGAACCAAGCCGGCATACACAGTCTGATCCTAACGGATCGGCTTGGGAATGTCCAGAGGAACACTCACGGATCATGGTTCCAGGTCTGTTTGTCTGGACAACCCATCGGCATTGCCAGTTTGCTTCCCAGGGCGATAGTGGATGGTAAAGTCAAAAGGCTGCAGCGCCAAACTCCAGCGCAGCAGCCTGGCATTGTCTCCTGACACCCTGTTCAGCCACACCAACAGGTTGTGATCCATGAGTAATGTAAACGGTTGTCCATATAAATAGGGCTGCAGTTTTTTGAGGGTCCACACCACAGCCAGGCACTCCTTTTCGATGGCGGCGTTGCTGACCTCTCTGGGTAAAGGTTTTCGGCTTAGGTAAGCTACGGGATGTTTGCCGCCATCTGCTCCGACTTGGCTCAGTACTGCTCCCAATCCAAACATAGAAGCGTCTGTGTGGACGAGAAAATGTTTAGTTTGATCAGGAGCAAAAAGTACAGGTGAGTTAACAAGTGCCGTCTTGAGCTGTTGAAATGCCTGTTCACACTCTGGGGCCCAGACTACTAGCTTAGGGAGGTTTTTACGTGTCAAATCAGTGAGGGGTTTGGCGAGGGCACTGTAGTTGGCCACAAATTTCCCGTAGTACCCTGCGGTCCCTAAGAAGGCGAGTACTTGTGTTTTGGTGCGAGGGGTGGCCCACTGGGCGACTGCCTCTATTTTAGCAGGTTCTGGCTTCTGCTGTCCACTTTCTACCCTGTGTCCTAGGCAGTGGCGTACACATGACCCATGGGGCCCCGGTGCGAAAATTGATCCGTGGGCCCGCCCCCCCGCGGGCCGGGCCGCAACACATGGCGGTGGGCACCTGGTCGCAGGGCTGCGACCCCTGCGACCGCGGTATGTACGCCAGTGCATGCAGATGCACACACACTTAAAGGACCACTACAGACACCCAGATCACATCAGCTCAATGAAGTTGTCTGGGTGTCAGGTCCCTCTAGTTTTAACACTCAGCTGAAAACATAGCAGTTTCAGAGAAACTGCTATGTTTCACTGAGGGTTAATCCAGCCTCTAGTGGCTGTCTCACTGACAGCCGCTAGAGGAGCACACTGAATGTCCATAGGAAAGCATTGAGTAATGCTTTCCCATGGGCGGTTTGAATGCGTGCGCGGTCGCATTCGGAGCTGAGAGGCTGAGGGATCCCCAGCGCCAAGGGAGTCCGGCGCTGGAGAAAGGTAAGTGCTGAAGACACATACACTCTCACTTACAGACGCATACACATTAGCTAACAGACACACACATTTACTGACAGAGACACACTCAGCGACAGACATACATACACACTCACTTACAAAACATACACTCTCATTGACAAACACAAACTCACTAACAGATATCAAACAGACTCACTAACACACACACACACACACACACACACTCAGTAAGACACACACAGTAACACACTCACTGACACTCACTAGCAGACACACACACTAACACTCACTCTAACACTCACTCTAACACTCACACACACTAACACTCACACTAACACTCACTAGCAGACACACACTCTAACACTCACACTCACTCTAACACTCACTCTGACACTCACTCTGACACTCATTCTAACACTCACTCTGACACTCTCACTAACACTAACACTCACTCTCACTCTAACACTCACACTCTAACACTCACTCTCACTCTAACACTCACTCTCACTCTAACACTCTAACACTCACTCTAACACTCACTCTCACTCTAACACTCACTCTCACACTATAACACTCACTCTCAAACTCTAACACTCACTCTAACTCTAGCACTCACTCTAACACTAACACTCACTCTAAAACTCACTCTAAAACTCACACTCACACTCACTCTAACACTCACTCTAACACTCACACTCACTCACACACACACACTCTAACACTCACTCTAACACCAACACATGTTTGTTTTAAAAAATTTTTTTTATCCCCCCAGCCTTCTTACCTTTTGGAGTGCTGGGGGGATTCCCTGGGGTCCAGTGGTGCTGCTGGGCTCCTGGGCGGGTGGCCGGTCGGGCAGGCGGGCTCGCGAGGGAGCACTCAGTGCTTGCTCTTCAGCTCCCTCGCGCGCCGTGTAGGGATGCCGGCGCCGGAAGATGACGTCATCTTCCGGCTCCGGTATCAGTGCGGTGCGCGAGGGAGCTGAAGAGGAAGCACTGAGTGTTCCCTCGCGCGCCCGCCTGCCCGACCGGCCACCCGCCTTCCGGGTGTCATCAGGGCCAGCCTCGGGGGGCCCTGGGGTGGTCGGCTCCTGGGCCCCCCAGGGGAAGAGGCTGGCC